TGTTTTAATTTAAATGACCGATTCATGTACTCAAAATGCAGATGTTATGACAAAGTTCAAACAATTTTTGGGATGGCATTCCCCATAAAAATTGTTTGGACAGGCATCCCAGCGAGCAAATGGTTCGTGATTTTTCTTACAGGAAGCACGTACTTTTGCTGTCTAGAATGATTCTTTGACTACCCTGGTTTAGTATTGAATCTATTCATATGAGGGTATGTGCAAGGTTTTGTTTGGAAAAGGCTACCCCCTTTTTTTGATTGCTTATCATCATTGTTTGGTGGTTTGGAACATTTTTTATTTTTCCATACATTGGGAATAATTATCCCAACTGACTAGTATTTTTCAGGGGGGTTGAAACCACCAACCAGAATGGCCATGTAGAGGTCTTCCTCGTTTTCAGACAAACCCATATGACGAGAGTTGGTCATTGTCCAACCACACTTGCTGTTTGAGATACCTTGCTTGCAGGGCACCTGCCCCAAGAACAGAGGGGGTTTCATATGCCCATATTTTTGGCTGATGGAAATGAATAAGATGGAACAACCCAAGAAAAGGCAATAAGTTAATAAGGCTCTATTTGTTTGGGAGACATTGATCCATTGAATTGGTCTTGATCCTGTTTTCTACTGGTTATGGTGGCTGTACCCTTTGGTTCCCATGTTCATCCATTTTCCATAGCTATGTTAAATTACCAATGGTATTAGCATGTACCTTTTGCCAATAAATGTCCATGACCTTGATGATGTGTTTTTTGTTTTCCAGGAAGCTATTGCCCGGATCAGTGAAGCGCAGTTGAGCAGCCGAAGTAGCCGGCGGGGCCGCACAGGTCCTGTGTTGTGAGCCATGGTGGGGTGACCGCTGGTAATTGAACACAACAATAGTATAGATGGCGCATTACAATGTATAGATGATGCACCCATTAGACTTGGTGATGTTCAATAACTATCTTAAATTAACAGAGCGTAAACCAGGGACAAACATGAGGATTTAACAAACAAATGCTGCAAATGGATTTAACCATTTTAGAAAAAGGTTAACACCAGAATGGATCGGTTGAAAAGAAGATGTTCAGGAAGGCCTGGAATCTGTGGTCAAGACCAGGGTTTCCTTTAGATTCTCCCACGACAAATCCATGGATAGATGGAGACACATGTGGTTTCAGTCGCTGTGCAAAGCTTTGAGGGGTGAAGCGCCAAAGCCACTGTTTCTGGATTGGTGGCTTTGGTGATTTCTGAATCCTATATGTTTGAGCAGATTATAGATTCTATCCCCCAAAGTAGTCAAACTTTGGGTAAATGGGGTAGCTTATCACTTCACTTCATTGGTATGTTTATCTTCCAGTTGCTAAATGGGGTAAGCCTTGTTGACTGGAGATCTTGCCGATTCCCTGCGCTGAGAAATCTGAGCCCTGTGCACTCCCACAAGAGACCTGGCTTGTGGGGATCCCAAGGTGGGGTGAACCGCAGATGGACTTGTCATTTTTCGTCACACATAGAAAGATGTAGAAAAGCACCTTAAGCGATCACCCTAAACTCAAAAGACAAAGATAGTTTAATGGAAAATCACCCATTCACATCATTCATAGATGGTGATTTGTCCCAGTAAATGCTCCATGGAATCTGCGGAACGAATGATCGCGATTTGCATCTGGCGAGGATTACCCTCTGGTAAACTGTTACATAACGAACTGGAAAATCACTTTTTTTTTTTAATGGAAAAACTCACTATAAATGGTCATGTTCAATAGATATGTTAGTTTACCAGAGGTCAACCATATTTAACACTATTTAACATATCTTCAATTTGCCCGGATGGAATCTTTTGTTGAGCTCTGGCATGGTGTATCTGTGCATGCGACCTGATTTCTTGTGATTGTCCCATCAAAGAGGAGAGGATAGGGCCCATGGGTAGTACAGGATATACCCATGATCAATGCCTGGAACCCATATGAAGGGCCTAAGGGTCTTTTGCATGGCTACCATCAGTAAACTGACACATGGAAAGCAACCATGAGTTCCGGTTCGCAATGCTGTTGGGAGTGCCATCCAATTATATTTATTGAATGTTGTTAAGTTTGGAATTTGAAGCTCCTATGCCCTCTGGTAATGAAACATGGCAATGGAAAATTCACCATTTAGTTCAATGATTTTCCCATTAAAACCTTGATTTGCACAGGATTTACCAGCAAGTAAGCTTCCACAAACACTTGTTGGCCAAACTTGCGCTCCGTCACGTCGGACTGGCCATTTCGACTAAGGTTCACACTGGTTGCCGGACCTGTTCTTATTTCGCTATGCACCACGGTGCGGTGTCGGTTTGGGCTCTGCCATGTTACAAACGCTAGCGTTAAGCCGTATCAGCTCATAAAAGTCGTATCGGGATTCCGTGCGCCTGGAAAAAGTTCAATTTTGGCATCACCACAACTTTAGTGATTGAGTGAATTCATTGTTTTG